CAAGAACTCTGCACAAATTTTGTGGTGCGTAACAAATAATATTCAATTGTGGACGGCCAGCTCGATCAAAATACTTTCCATTGATTCCAAACCGCAGTTCCATATGCCTATAGCAAAGCTGCAAAGTTTCATCTTTGTGTAGCAACTTTATCCTCTGACTCCCATTATCCAACGGAACAAGGGTAGAGTGGATAGAAGGAATTGAAACTTCATCTGGCTGTAAAAACTCCATAGTGCCATGGGAACTCCCCAATGCAGCGATAGGGGAAGAACTCTCAACAGACTTTTGCTTAGGTACTTCTACCATGGCGTTGTCTGGCTGATTCGGCTCTTGCATCACTTCATCGCGAAGTGGGTCCATGTCAAAGGCATATGGTCGAGCTGTGCTAGATTCAACCACATTAGAGACTCGTTCGGTGTTTTCACTACAAATTCTTGTGTTAGCATTTGAAGGAACCCAACTATTCTTCTTGAATATGTCCGGGAGGCTCGACTCCTGTGAGTAGATCAGACAATAGTTAGTTCTTACTATTGATATATTTGTTGAGTTGAGCAGCTCAACTTGAGCTTCAAAAGGTCTAACTTTGAGGATGTGAGCCAAGTACTGTCTTAGAAAGACTAGTCTTAAGTCTACGTCGCGCCTCCTCGTATATGTCAAAATTGAAAACAAACAAAGAGGAGGACATACTACTGATTTATATTCTAACATGGTAACACCGCACCCCTCGCGTGTGAGCTCCTCACTACCATTAAAAATCCAACACATGAAATTTCGTATAAATGTATGGGTTCACCATTCCTTCAAAATCATATCATTACCAAGTATAAAACGGCCGCACAGCATTTCAGAACTTCCAGATTCATTCGAACATCACCCAAACTCCTGACGAACCATTACATAAAGGATTAGTTCAAGGAAACCAAATTGAAGGCAAGAGTAATTAGTTTAAACTCGAAGTAGGTTTGCAGAAAAACCTGTGTGGCTGGTCTCCGAGCCTGAAATACGTTGCAAGAGATTGCATCTGCGCAAAATAATTTGTGTCGTGTGTATCAATCAACGATAACATTCACAAGTAACATACACGAACACGTAGAAACTGCACAACTGCTCCTCCTCAAAACTACATGTTTCATTTCGTCCTTCAAATATGGATTTGGAGAATTTAAAGAATTGATTCGGATCAAAATCTAACCGGTGACATTTACTAACAGATGGAGAGAAAATAAATACCTTCATGTCACCAGCTCTCCTTCCGAACGGCTGTCTCAAGAATTTCAATGTATCGATTGTATCTTTCGGTTCTGGTGCAGTCCGACCAATCTGCGCGAAAGCCTCCCGAATCCGAGCACAATCAAACTCCAGAATGTTGTGACCAGCCCATATACGTCCTATACACAACAACCACAAAATCAAATTGCAAATTATCCACCAGCAACAACCGCAGAAATGAAAAATCCAAAGCAACCCTCGAAAATTAAAATTGAACTACTTTAGTTTCAGCTAATTTTCCTTCCATTTCTCAGCAACCAAACACACAATCATCCATAAAAGTCAAACCTTCACGTTAATTATCAATTCATTCGTACAAAACTAAAGATAAAAGTCCAAATTTTTCCCTCAATTTTCTCGGCAGCCAAACACAGTGTTAGAAACTGAGAAAACAAAAATTAAAAGGAAAGGAGCTAACCGTGGAGAATGTCGTAGACCGTATCGGCGACGTCTTGAAAAGAAGGGGCGGCAATGACGGCGTCGCGGGTAATGCCGTTGCTACGGACGGACAGGGAATTGATGGCGGAGAGGTCAGCGGGTCGAATCAAGGTAGAGTAGCTCTCGAGCTCCACCAGCTTCCTAGGGCAAACGATAATTGACCCGAATTCCAAGATGGTGCGGTCCTGGCAGGTTCGGGTCGGCATCGTCGTCTCCAAGTCGAAGAAGGCTATTTCGCACCGGTCCTCGCTCCGACTGGCCATTTTTTTTTTGTTCTTCAAGTGTTCAAATCAAAACCCTAAGTCCCTGCTCGATTATAAAGTGTTCGAATCAAAACCAATTTCCCACTCGCTTATAAAGTGTTCAAATCAAAACCCAAGTCCTCACTCGTTTATAAAGTGTTCAAATTAAAGTAGATGTACAATGCGGTTGCTTCCTTGGTAAGCTACCAAAAAGAAGAACACTACTTTGCTGGTGAAAAAATATTAGCAGCAGCTCCAATCACAGATGGACAAAAAAAAGTAGCTTTGGCTTTAATAAAGTGTTTAAATTTTGACCAAAAATATTAAGCGTTGGGCAAATGTAATGCGGCTTTTGCTTCCTTGGTAAGCTATCTTTGGTTTTTATCAACTCCAACAAAACTCACCAAGAAAGCTGAAGACATGCTTCTGTCGGGAGAAGCGGTACATCAAGGTGACGGTGTCTCAAACCTAACACATGTCGCAATGTGTTTCAATTTTTCCGCATGATGTTCCCGTTTCATGCAAGTCCTTCCAGCTTCCGTCTGATATACCCTTCAGCAGCTAAGAATGATTCAAGTCTTCGGAAAGCTGAGGACTTGCTCTTTTCCTATTCTGCATAGAAAAGCACATCTGATATGTCTGGTTTGGAGCTTTGCAGACACCCGGAAGCTACATAGAACGATAAAATCCGAACAAGAACCTAGCTTTTTCGTGTGAGTCCGTGAATTGTTATTTGGGTGTGAATCTGGGTGAGTTTTTTTAATCGAGTTGCAGCTCTGGAGTAGAGAGAAGAGGCGGTGTTGCAGAGCTCTGGAGGCCGTGGTGTTGGCGGGAACGGCTTCAACTGACATTTAAAAGCCTTTGTTTTGTGAAAGCATAAGTAACTAACTTGACCGCGCAACTGTTGCACCAGGAACGGAAATAACATTATAAAAGAGGCCACGGCGTCGTTTTGGCTGTACGGATTAGCAACACCAAGATGCCTAATTTGAGTGAAGTTCCACTTCTGTCATTGTAGTTTCAATTGTCGAAAGATTTTTTAGTGTGCTGGGAATACGGTTTGGTACATCAAGTGTAATAATATAATTGGTTAGAAACATGAAAAAAAATTCAATAAATTATGATTACATTTGGTGTACCGGGCTGTGTTTCCGACGCATTTAATTTTTTTTTTCTCAATTGTCACGATTTAAGCTTTGTAGTTTATCTGATTACATCAACACTCAACATCTGATATGTGAAGAAATGTTATTGCAAGGATAAATGCTCATAATCACTTGAGTTACAATTGCATTGCAATTAAATCTTTTATGTTTATATTGCGATAAACAATAAATAACAAAAATTTAACTTTTACTCTAAACATATGTGAGTTAAGTCCGAGATAAATGTATTTGAAATCCCTTCAATTTTCCCTCCGGTTAGTAAAAGAATATTAGGTTCCAAAATGTTTAGTGGGAGATTGGTTATTCTCACCATTAGCGTTAGGGTATTACCCACAATCTCAAGTCGGAAGGACTTACGCATAACACTTAACTATCAGCTGCCATTAATATGGCTTTACGCATGAATTTATAAATCATCACTAACGAAAACAGTTGGCAGCGGAGATCAAAAGAATATTGTTTCATACTAAGAAAATAAAAATTGAAACGCTCAAAACTATAAAAACAAGCCGCCAATCTAATTACCAATTATCACTAGTATGAAATTACTGAAGAATTTATAAACCATGCACCAACAAGAACGGCTAGCAGCCTAGCAGCGGATATCAAAAGAATATTATTTCATACTAAGAAAATAAAAGTTGGAACACTCGAGACTATAGGGACGAAAGTCTCCCAAATAACAGGAACAAAATCACTAATGTTGAAGCAGCTCTTCCGTACAAAACACACACTCGTTGTCACCTCCCACACTTCCACTGCCACCATTTCAAGATCACTTTCTTCTTCGTCTTCTTCGTCTTCTTCGTGTTCGTCTTGTCCAGTATCCGATTCGACGAGCACCATTCTCAACCGGAGCAGTGGAGCTTTTCAACTCCGCCGCTGCAAAACAAGGATGGCGAATCCATCTCCGCGTTTTCATCTTCCAAAAACCCAACTTCACACACACCTCAAACCGCCGAAAGCAAACCAGACCCTTAAGACTTACCTTAAATCCAACTCCGCTACCAAAGCTCTCTTGCTCTTTCGAGACATACTGCGAAAAAGCCCGGCCACGACCGATAGCTACACTCTCTTGTTTGTCCTCAAAGCTTGCACCCAAAAGTCCGTCTCGCTCGAGGGAAAGCAATTGCATACCCTTGTGCTTAAGTATGGGTTTGAATCCATAGTTTACCTCCAAACATCTCTTATGAACATGTATTCTGCTGCAGGTGATGTTGGGAATGCACACCTAGTGTTTGATGAAATACCCTCCAAGAATATAGTTTGCTGGACCACCTTGGTTTCTGCGTATGTCGACAACCAGAAGCCTAACGAAGCTCTTCAGCTGTTCAGGCAGATGCAGATGCACAATGTGGAACCCGATCAAGTTACATTGACGGTTGCTCTCTCAGCGTGCGCTGATCTTGGAGCGTTAGAAATGGGAGAGTGGATTAACGCTTATGTCTGTCATAAGTATGAGTTCGATACAGATTTATGCTTGAACAATGCTCTTGTCAACATGTATGCAAAATGCGGGGACATTGGAACGGCGAGGAGATTGTTCGATGGGATACGAGAGAAGGATGTTATGACTTGGACATCGATGATTGTGGGCCATGCACTGCATGGACAAGCAGAAGAAGCGCTTACCCTTTTTGGACAAATGAAAGAAGCAAGTGAAAACACCAGGAAGAACAAGAGGAGTGGTGATTTCGAAAGCGGTTTAGTTGTCCCTAACGACGTTACTTTCATAGGAGTTTTAATGGCTTGCAGCCACGCGGGGATGGTGGAGGAAGGGAAGTGGCATTTCAGAAGCATGAGCCAAGTATACGGTTTGAAACCCCGGGAAGCTCACTTTGGCTGCATGGTGGATCTATTCTGCCGAGCTGGGCTTCTACAAGAAGCGTATGATTTTATTCTGAAGATGACAGGGCCTTCAAACGCAGTGATGTGGAGAACATTGCTCGGAGCGTGCAGCCTCCACGGAGATATTAAACTTGGCTCACAAGTAAGGGTAAAGTTGCTCGAGTTAGAGCCTACTTATGCTGGCGACGATGTTGCTTTATCCAACATCTATGCGGCCAAAGGCATGTGGGATAGGAAGATGGTTGTTAGAGATCAAATGAAGCAAAGGAGGCCGCCCGGTTGCAGTTCGATCGAGGTGGGAAGGAGCATCAGTGAATTCGTTTCGGCCGATGATGATCACCCTTTGAGGACTGAAATGTATGAGATTCTCAGGCAGTTGATTGCAAGTATGAAAGCTTATGGTTACTCTCCTGAGCTTTCAAGCGTAAAAGAGTGTTAAAGAGAGAAAACGAAGGTTGTAATGCAACTTTAGTACTATTTTTTATTAGCCGAAGAACCACGAAACACATTAAAAATTTGAGGTGTTATTGGTACTTTAAATATATCGTTATGCTTGTTCTTGAATGAAAAATAAATAAAGAATAGCAAAGTACATAAATATTATTTGTTAACCTATGTGCTAAAAAAAGTTTTAAATTAGGTAAAATTTAATTGAGATTGGCCGGTTCCCCCCACCCCCTCGCCCTTTCCCCTCCGAACTTGTAAGAAGATGTCAATTTTTTCTCTGACTTTAATTTTAACAGATTAACCCCACCCCTAAGCTTATATAATTGACCAATTTCTCCCATGAATTTTAATTTTAACCGATTACCCCCCTTTTCTAAACTTTTATAATTGGCCAATGTCCCTATCAACTTTATTCTTCCTCCCAAAATTTAAACAAAAAGTGTACAGAGTGAACTAGCGGAAGAGAAGAAGGAAAAAAAAAAAACGATATGTTGTTCACATTAGAGGAAAATTTACCTTTATAGGGAAGAAATTGATCGATTATAAAAGTTAAGGGGGATTATCGGCCAAAATTAAAGCTCAAGGGAGAAATTGACCAATTATAAAAGTTTAGGGGGATAATTGGTTAAAAATTAAAATTTAGGAGGAAAATTGACAGCTCCGTACAATTTCGAAAGAGAAATCGACAAATACCTCAATTTAATTTGTGCTACTATTTTTTATTTTTCTTGATTTGTAGGTAAAATATCTTAAATCAAAATCTGATGTACAATAAGTTCGATAGCAACTTATCATATTAATTTATACCCTAAAAAGCTCCAAGATTTTACGAGCAAGGCAACTAAGTGATGAAGTGGCCACTTAGTACTACGGTCCAATAGTATTCATCTTCACTTGTATTTGGACCCGATTTTACACTATCGGCCCGAGCAATCGAGACTGTTGAATGAGAAGAATTTTAGACCGTTGGAGGACAAAATGGTTGAAATAATTTTCAATTATTATTGATAAATAATATTGTGATTTTAATCATAATGTTATCTCTTAGTAATATGTTAAATTATTTGAACCTAATATTTGTCTAAATCCCAATTGATTTGAATGATGATGGAATATGGGGATATGCATTAAGGCATGGTATCAGATAACGGCATGCAAAGATATTGGGGATACGTTTTGCATATGTGGTATTGCTTTGGCCACGTGACACATGCATAATTAGAACTCCTATGCAAAGTGGTATTTGATGGTAGATGGCATCTCAAGTGATTAGCTGATATTGCAATTAAATTGCATGCATGGTTACACAGGTGTCGTGGGAAAGAAAGCTTTATAGTTTGCACTGGTAGTCTTGGTTATGAATGACAGCTTAATGGGATAAAGCAAGGTTGTTGATGGAGTTTTGATGATGAGGTAAGAAGCCTAGGTGGGCTAGGCTTCTAATGTGATGTGATAAGCCTAGATAGGTTTTTATCTTGTTTGAAAAGTCACAAACAATAATCTGAAGGATATGCTTTGGCTTCTGACACGAATCAATTTAAGGCCGCGAGTTAGAGTTGCAGTTGGACTCTATGAAATATCATGACGTGCTAAGCAAAAAGTATGGATGTTATAAGCCTATAAATACAAAGTCGCAGGCAACATCTAGGGCCCCTTTAATTC